CTATTCCTCAGAAAGCTTTTAAAATAATTAACTGAAATTTTTTGTGTGTGTTCTGTATAATAGTAGAAGTATTTTAACCTTCAGATTTATCAATCACTGTTTTATTACAAAATTTACAATCCCTAATGTGAATATAATCGCTGTTTTTTAAGCACACACAATTCCATATAATATCTACAATAAAGTGCTCTAGTTTTTGTAAAAATTAAAATATCTCTTATCCTGAAGGTCATTTCAAAAATGAATAGCAAACAAACACATCAAAATTGAAGAATTGAAAATTTGTTCATGAACTTTTTGTACAGAAGCGGTCCCGTTTATGTAAATTTTGTAAATTTTTACCCATTTTTTCCCATTTTAGTAATAATAATTTCTTTTTATCTTCTTAATCTTAGTATGTTTTTCTTAAAATGTACTAAATAAATCTAAAAACCACAAAAAAAACCATACCTCTATTTTTTTTAAAAAGTTGCCGCAAGTAGTCGGACACCTTAAGTTATAGAGAAAGTGTTCATTTTAAAAACTTTTACTATAAATATTTTCCTAATTTTAAGTGACTGTCCAATATTGTTCAGAGAATAAATATTTTGAGGTTAAATGTATTAGGTCTTTCTTTTTCAAGGAGAAATTTACATATACACATGTAAACATTTTTTAGCATTTAAAACACATATTTAAAAGCATAGAAAAGGCACACTTTTAAATGTTTGGCCGGCATTTTCGATTAATGGGGTGCATTCTAGTGCCACTGAAGATCTGTAAAGTAGAGGGGCTCGTCTGTCGAAGTTTGAAGTCCCCATGTTGGTGTGTTGGGAAAGTTTGTTGACAAGCTGTACGCTTGTCATGGTTCAAGATTACGAGGTCCGTTGCCAAAACCTCTCGAGTTGCTTAAAAGTGCGATGTAAAACCTGTCTTCCCCAAAAGTACGTGATCCAGAACTAAACGCGGAGCATTTTTTTTACACAGAAAAACGACTCATTTTCTATGAAAATTGGTAGTATTCACATTCATACATCTCTGTTTATTATATAGAGTTTTAAGATATCTTAACACATTCAAAATGACCAAATTTGGTTAAGACAGATATTTTCTTTTCTATTTTATTGAATGGAGTTATGTTTTGGCTTTACGAAACATACTTTGTTGTGTTTCTACGCTACCTAGAGGCCAAGTTTATAAAGTTAGAAAGACCAGAAGAGTGGGTACTTAAATTGCTCACACACACACAAAATCTATCATGGCGAGTCTGATAACTCAAAATGTTACAAATATATTTCTATAAAACTTTATGAACCTGGTATTTATGTTATTTTCTAGAGAATGTACTAAAATATTTCTTATTGTATGAATACTTTTTCAGTTATGGCTTGTAGTTTAAATAATGGTCTCATAAAAAATGTAACATTTCTTACAATGCTTACTCAATCAGATCTAATCTATTTAAATTTTAATAAAACATTAAAATTTTAGTACATTTTCTAGATAAACGCATCTAATTTGTTTTAGTAATACTTTTACTGATATATGTCTGTTACTTTTTTCTCTAACGACTCTAAAGTTTTTCAAAAATATTGCTAAAATTTCACTTATAATTGCGATTTTTGTAAAACTCAGGCGAATTATTTTAAACATTGTTATAGTTAAATAGTAGTATTTATATTCGTAATGAGTCCTAAAAATGCATTTATAATGTTTGAATATGTTAATTTGTTAAAAAGTACTCCTAACGTTTTCGGATACCTTAAAAATTACAAAACGTCTTAATAATTAATTTAAAGTGGTAGTTCATTTAGCATTACAGTATTGGAGGAAAAATACGAAATTCAATTTATACCAGAAAAATTAATCGATTCGGATAAGAATGAGTAGCATGATAATACTCGTATATACTGCCCTCTGTAGCAGTATTTCTAAAACTGTAGTCCGCGGACCTCCGAGGGACCTCAGCGTTTTTCTAGGGTGTCCACGATAGTCTTTCATTTAATGATAAGATTCCTTCTTTTATTGACTTTGAAATGCGTCATGGAAAAATTGAATGATGTGCCATCCAAAATTAGATCACTAAATTGCCCCCATGGAAAAACTCAAAAAGAACATGTATTTCAATCAAGAATATTCAGGGACACAAAAAAAAAATTTCAAAGGGGGGAGGGGAGTCCAGGGTCGAGAAAATCCACCATTCTCGTGCCATACCTCAATACCCCTCCAAATTTATTCTTTTGATTTTGTCGATTTTAGGAACAAAAAACAGCAAAAAAAATAAATTGAATTAATAATTAGCATTAATCAATAAAATAAATTGCTGATAACAAACAATTAAATTTTACGTACTATATACACATAGGATTATCATCAATCAAAAAAAATTGCTTGGGGGTCAGGACCCATGCCCCTCCCCCTTATGTGTGCCACTGAGAATATGTATTCAATTTTTTTTATTGTTTTCAACTATATATAGCCATTACTATAACGCAATTTTTTTTAATTTGCTGTTTACTTAAAGGAAAAAAGAAGTATAAAAAAGTCTGTACGAGTAGCAGAGGCAGTCTTAGGTTTATATTGAGGAACCCTTAAATCACTCAGCCGTGTGTTAAAAGTTACGGTGAGGTGTTCCAAACCTTGGGGTCTGCGATGTCAGGCTGATACATAAAGGGTAAACGCGGCGATCGACAGTTGAAGAACCGCTGCTGTATAGCATATAGGAACGAGAATATAGCATTAATGTTACAGTACTTTTATATCTGAAACAAGTAAAATAATAAGCATATAAACTTAAGTCAATTCCTGCTTAGGTCAACAAAGAAAGTTTTAATGTATTAAATAGTTACAATTAATATAAATATGTATATACGTAGGACAGAATCACACTATTAAGCGACAAAATAGAAAGCGATTTTCCTTGCAATTTTCCATTCACCTTTCTATATAGAGCAGTGCTCCGCAACCTTTTTATCACTGCGGACCGGTCAACGTTTGATAATTTTACCGCGGTCCGCTGAGGGTGGACACGTTGATTGTTTATATTTTAGATTGTTTTGATTTAAAAATTTTTTTAATTTAGTTATATTTAAATATGCCTTCAGTAAAATATAGTTACACCAAAAATGAATAAAAGTGATTTAACGGGAATATAAAGTGATTTGAGGATAGTTGCGCAAACCGAGAGAAAATGCACTTTTAAATAAATGGCAATATTTTGAATGTTCTTTAGGCGGTGGACCTTTTGGGATCCACCGGACCGGGGTTTGCGGATCACTGATATAGAGTGTTGGAGTGTTTTTTTGTTTCATTATTTTTCATTAAATTTATTTTTAATAAAAAAATAGTAAAAATTAAATCACATTCTCAGAAATTGGGCCATCCGAGGTGGCATTCGAACCCACGCCCTTTGGGTAAGAAGTCCAACGCGCTATCCGTTGCGCTACAGGTGCACAGCGAACGAATTTCCTTTCTATATATGCTGTTGGACTATTTTTTTTGGTTACTATTTATTCATTTTTAATTTAAGTAATGAATTAATATTTGAAAAAACTGTATTAACATCAAGTGCCATCCACTACAAGCTTAAAAAAATGTATTTGAACTTGAATAAAGATGAATAGAAAGTATTTTACTATAACGATTAAAAATTTGAACAAGATATATAGGGAGATTGTGTGAACTAATAGTAGGAATTAAAAAAATAATGTTTTATTAATTTTATGTAGCATATAAAAACTGTGTGTGTGTATTAACATCTACTGTCATCCACTACAAGTTTCAAAAAAATATATTTGAACTTGAATGGATGAAGAGAAAGTATTTTATTAACGATTAAAATATGAACACGATATATATATATATATATATATATATATAATATATATATATATAGGGGGAGAGTGAACTAATAGTAGAGAGAAATTGAAAAATATTCCAAACTCGTTGTCTTATTCTTTACATTATGCGGAGAAAGTATTTGTAAAAAAATCAAGTCAAATCAATAGATGTGACCAAATCCAATATCAGTGTGGTCTTATTTTAAAGTGACACTAATAAATGCCAAACAGCCCCGTGTTTCTTTGTATTCAAAATATGATATTTTTTTTTTTATTGGAAATCTTCCACTTATGTAACTATGGAAATTCGTTCGACACATATTGCATTTTTTAAAATGTAACCAATCCCTTTTTTAAAAATTTGAAAATCTTTACAGCACAGTATTTCCCTTTTGAATGTTAATCAAAAAACAATTTAATCTGTTTAAAGTTTAATAGATCGCATTTTTTTGCATTAAAGTAATTTTACTTTCCTTTTATAACAGTGGTAATTTACAGTGACCTGTTTGTATAAAGGGATGATTTATTTGGAGCATTTCTCTGGTCTTGTATAATAAGTATTCAACTACTTAATATGCAAATTAAACACATCATTATTCTGTAGATTCAGCTTACTAATTGTACTAAGCGATGAGTTCACTGACACTTTAATTCATTGCAGATTATATAATTTTTTTTTTTGTTCCCATAACGATTCATTTTTATTTCAAATGAAATGATTTAGAATTATTAATGAACAAGTAATATAAAAAAAAATTTTAAGTCAGTTCCCACTTTGGTCAACAAAGAAACATTTTATTTTAGTTATTTTTTATTAAATAGTTACAATTAATATAAAAAAATATTATAAAGGGCAGAATCACAATATAACAAAATAGAAAACGATTTTCCTTTTTTTATATATGGTGTGTTTTTTATTGAGAACTTTTTATAAACCCTGTCCCAAGGATAAGGGGCTTGGTAAAAAAGTATGCATCACGAAGAAATTGTCGTGAAAGATTACAATACAAATATCCATGCCTTCACCAGGATAGAACCAGCCCCCGGTACCCAAAACGTATAAAACCTACTGGGTGGGGGTTAGAGGGTTGGGTTTTTTTTTACTATTTATTCATAAATTAAATTTAGTTATTCTAATAAAATAGTACAGTAAAAAAGAATACACATTCTCAGAAATGAGGTCATCCCAGGTGGGATTCGAATCCACGACATTTGTATTAGAAGTCCAAAGCGCTCGCTATCCATTGCATTTCAGGGACACAGCGAACGAATTTCCTTTTTATATATGCTGTTTGACTATTATTTTTGTTTGTTCCTATTTATTCATTTTTTAATTTAATTAATGAATTAATATTTGAAAAACTTATTAACATAAAGCATCCATTTAAAATTAAAAAAATTATTTGAACTTAAATGAAAGGAAGGAAAGTACGATTGAAAATTTGAAGAAGATATATAGGGAGAGTATGAACTAATAGTGGGATTTGAAAAATATCATTAATATTATATCCAGCACACATTCTTATTTACTCTATATATTTATAAAGTTTTTACATTTTTTTTTTTTACTTCATTTCCTTAAACATTAAACATTACTATATAAGTAGAAATTTAAAACACATTCTTATGGTTTCATTTAAAGTATATATCTTTTTTTTAATTTTGATTAGTTTGTGTTTAGTTATCATAATGCTAAAAAAGATTTGAAATCAACTATTGGCAGAAGGTGCACTTCTGATTGAGCTATTATGGATCATGAAGCCGTCTTTTGAACATGAGTTGTAATTATAAGGGTTAGGCTATGTAGTCTCAAGAAAGAATACATGATCCAAAGGAAGTATAAAAGAAACTAAAAAAAATTCAATCAGAAATTGCTTCAAACACACAATTTTCTCTTAAAGAAAATCCTTAAAAATTTGACGACAATTTATGAAACAAAATTGATAGGTTCACAGGTAGAATTTTTCTTGAGAGAAAGTTTAGATTTTTATTTGCGATATTTTATATGGATGGATAAATATTATTTCAACAATCAGTTTTGTAAGTGGTAGTAGGAAGTTCATCCCCGAAATAAAAGCTAATTTGTATGAAAAGAATAAAAGGGGAATACAGAATAGCTATAATCATCCTATTGTGAAATTCCCTCGGAGGAAAATGATCGAAACAGGCTCGATATCTAAATATAATTATACGTTTTTGCAATTAGACTAGTATTTGTCTTTCCAACTATTATAATATGAGCATTATGCATTAAAAACACATTAAAAATAAAATATTTTATGTAGGGAAGGGGGTAATAGTATAGTTTATAGTGTAACTCTTTCCTTTTCTTAGGTTTTTTATATATTAATTCTATAAATTCAAACGTAATTTTCGCAATCAAGCAGTGCCCAAACTAAAGAAAATTATTGATATTTTTATTTCAATTATTCCCATCCCATTCTTGTCCTAAAGGATTTTGTACGTCAATGCTTAGAGATTGTATATATTTTGGGTTTTATAATGCATTATTTTACATTAAATTCCGCATTGAGGCAAACATTTAATAACCACTGTACTGCCTAAAAGCTTCCCAGCATCATGTCGTTGTTTGAGTATGTAGCGGTATCACTTATATAAGCCAGTAACAGTCTCTGGACAGAGGTGATCGCTTTTGTCTAGTGGTATGTTACTTGGGCCCCATAAATTTTTTCTACCACCCCTTAAATCATGGTAAACTATTCATTAATGCTCAACACCAACCATTCTGACAGGAGATTAAGACCTCAACTATCATGGGCCCCGATGATCATTCTACCCACTTGAACTCGAAATCTTAGGTACCGGGTTCTGTTCCCCTGATATGTGCCACCTCATTGATGACCTTGACGTGGAACTAAGAAAAAACGCAACCTTCGTCATAGCAACATCTACCCGCCGCAAGTGCAATCAAAAGCCGTCAGACACACTTGACGCAACACTACCAATTAACAGCAACAACTTACACGCTCGTCATAACAACTATATCATTCGTTCACCTATCCACCTACTCACTGTAGGGTAGTAGTGTAGAGGTGGTAACTATTTAAGCTAGTAATAGCCTCCGAACTGAAGTCATAATTTTGGTCTAGGGATCTTACGAATCAGAAGGTACCGAGTTCTATATCCCTTACAAGTACCTTAAAGTTCAACTATAGGTACATATATATCAGCAATATCATTTAACAAGACTATATTTAGAGGAATACAATCTCGATCATTCAGCTCTTATCTCACTAATATGCAATTCTTTATTGTTGATTCCTCTTTTGTAGATAAATTTTTATTTCAGAATTATGTCAAATATCTTTCACTTGTCCTGCGACACTATTCCAAAAAGGATAAAAGAAATCAAAGCCAAATTTATTTGGCAAAATACATGAAATACAAGAGTGAAAAGACTGAATTAAATCCGTTTGACTTGAAGAACACAAGGAAATCATTATTTTACTTATATTTTATTAATGTGTAGAAGTATATGTATATATAATTTTCTGAGAAAAAAACTGAAACAAAACAAAATAAGATAATAAAATTGCTTATGCCTGCTTTTACCTGTAATGAAGTTAATTTTTAAAAATTCTTCAATGTAAAATTTTGAAGTAAGCCACTATATAGACACTAAAGGGCTGTTTTGCTATTTTATCAACATATATAATTTTAGTATATATTTTAAACCAGGGGTGTCAAACTCAAAAACTAACTTGGGCCAAGCAAATAAGGTTTAACGTTAGGTAGGCTGCAAAAAATAGCAATATTCATAGAAACGTAGGTTTATTTCGAATAATACATTGTAATAAACATATAAAAAAAGAGCAAGAAAAATTTAATGTTTACGTCTGCTACTATGTTTCCTATTTCGGGAGATTTTTTTATTTTATTTTATTACATATTATTGTGTGCTGATATACTGGCCGGGCCGCAAAAAATGTTCGTTGCGGGCCGCGAGTTTGACACCCTGTTTTAAACATATAATTATGATTATATTTTAAAAAAGTGATCAAGTGAAAATTTAATCTATCAACTGATACCTGTTTGGGGAATTTGGAATTTTACGTATACATCCCTTGTTATATAATTTTAAAAAAATTTTCTTTTTGAAAAATATATCAAATATTTTTTTTAAAACAAAAAACACATAATTTGAAAAATAATTATACTGTTAGACGACTTTTTAGGCATAAATGACTTATTCGGTCAAAAATTTCAAAAAACAAAAAAAAATTGGCTGTTAATGGATTAATAAAGTGGCTGAGACAATAGCACCTTTGGTACAAAGGTACTACTGATTCAGCAAAACTAGTACTAAGTCATATTTTTTTCTTCAATGGCTCGACAGCCCTGGGTGGGCCCTGACCTTCCCCAGAAGTTTTCAACGGGCATCTCTACTTTTGGCAACTGTTTTCCAGTTCTTGACCTTTAAAATATTTAGGTCTTTTTTTGACATAGTTAATCCATCTTAACGGGGATCTGCCCCGAGGTCTATTTCCCATGGGCTTTGCCAGAAAGATTTTCTTGCAGCAACGATCTTCATTCATTTTAGCCAGATGACCAGCCCATTTGAGTCTTTGTCATTTGACGAATTTTACAATATCAGGTTGTTTGCAAATTTTGTAGAGTTCTAAGTTAGATCTTCTTTTCCATGATCCATTCTGTGACCTTGGTAGCCAAGTGGTATAGGTATCGGATCGTGGCTTGCCTTGTCACGAGTTCGAGCCCAGTACCACTAAAGACCCGTCGTGTAGGGCAGCGGCGATGCACGTTAAATCTGTCGAGAGCTGAAACGTCCTCCCGTTGGCGTGGTGTGGTAGTTAGGAGAGGGAGATGCCAGCTCAGGTGTCGTCCACGTCACTTGACCATGGTTCAAAATTACGTGGTCCGTCGCCAAAAGCCCTCGTGTAGCTGAACAGTGCGACGTTAATATTCAATCAATCAATCCATAATCCCTTAACTTGAATCTCACCAAAAATGAAGCATAAAATCTTTCTCTTGAAAATTCCTAAAACTTCTTCATCATGTAAAGTCAACGGCCAAGAGTCTCTGATGCATAAATCAGGACAGATCTTAAAAGACTTTTTGAAAGAAGCAATTTAGTTGTTAATTTGAGTAAACTGGATTTTAAATAACTCTTCAAACCAATTTGCACCAAAAGTAACATTCTAATACTATAAAAATTTGATTCAGGTAATCATGTATTATAATACAGTAAATTAAAAAATATCAGTAAAAGTTAGTCACAGTATGAAAAATAATATCATATATCTTCCTAGTAATATTAAATGTGGGAATCGAGTTACTTCACCCTATAAAGCATGCTCAAAGAGAATTAAAGACGGAAGATCAAAGCATTGACTTCATTGCATCCTGTTTGTTTGTGTTTCACCATTTTCTTCCGTTTTTCTATACAAAAAAAAATTAGTTTTGTTTTCGGCTATGAAAAATCAGAACTAACAGGTTTGTTTTGCCAGGGAAGAGCACAAACAAGGCCTGCGGTGGGAAAGGGGCCCGAGTAAGGTAAAAATTGGCCTTATATCCGCTGTAAAATAGGGTTATGAAAGAGGACAAGTTATTGCGTAGTTTCCTAATAACTAGATAAATCCTTGATTTTTTGGCTTAATAAGAGTAATTTTGAAAAATATTGGTTACATAAAAAAGGCATCATTCGATTGCGTTGTCGGTGACCTGTGTTTCATTTAACACCAGAACGTCCGGAATTTTGATTACCCTAACATCCACCGGTGTCATTTCGACACCCCGAGTTATAAAATATATAAAGCATTTTTTTCAATTAAATAATTGCAGGAATACTGTTCAATAAAGTATAGTTAAAAGACTTTTTAATATTGTTCATGTAATTATATCATATATGTCTTTCTTTTGTAATGGGGATGCGCATTGGTATTTAAACCTTTGTAGACCTAGTACATTCCCCAGGAGCTGGTATCACTTATTATCAAATATTAGGACTCTTTATATCATAAAAACTGACGTTGACATTATGTTTCGCGAAGCTGCTGGACCACTACTTTGTCGCAAAAACATTTCGAGTCGCAAATCTGCCAGGAACATCACTATCATGCGGTATCCATTCTGTGCCATACCTAGCGACATATATATCAGGATTTACTGGTATATTATCAATTACATCTGACTATCTTAGGAATTTTCGCACACACACACACACATTCACTATCATTCAATCATATCTTTATCGGAATCTAAATTAGAGCCGATTCATTCG